TGGACTACTTTGAAACCTAGCACACACACACACGCTAAACATGATATATGGGCGACTCGCTGTTAAGTAAAGCAGAGATCCAATCATTCCCCTATATTGTTTCTCATCTACAGGCTCACTTGATCCATCGATTGACAACTTTACAGAAGATCCCATAGGTGTAATAGCAGATTTTAAGTTTTTCAAATCAAATCTTTCCAGCATGTTAACAAGATATTTAGATTGTGTAATAAAAATACCCATCTTTGTTTGCTAAACCTGTAATCCTAAGAAATATGTCAATTCACCCATAAGACTCACTTCAAACGCACCTTTCATTGCAGACTCAAAGTCTTTGCACAAATTTTGACTTGATGAACCAAATATTATGTCATCCACGTATACTTGAACAAGTAAGGTGTGGCCGTTAACATTTTTTATAAACAAAGTTTTATCAACAGATCCTCTATGAAACCCATCAGTAATTAAAAAATTACTTAATTTCTCATACCAGGCTCTGGGAGCTTGTTTTAGTCCATATAACGCTTTGTTTAACCTATACACATGATTAGGAAACTTGTCGTTTTCAAATCCAGGAGGCTGAGCCACATAAACTTCTTCTTTTAAATCCCCATTCAAAAATGCGCTTTTGACATCCATCTGATACAGTTTAAAACCTTCTGAAGCTGCATATGCTCATAACAATCTTATTGCCTCTAACCTAGCTACAGGCGCAAAAGATTCGTCAAAATCAATCCCTTCCTCCTTATCATATCCTTGTGCAAACAGTCTAGATTTGTTGCTAGTTATATCTCCAACTTCATCAGTTTTATTTTTGTAAACCCATTTTGTTCCTATAATTGGTTTATCCTCTAGTTTTGGAACTAATTCCCAAACATTCAACCTTTAAAAATAACCTATTTCATCTTGCATAGATGCAATCCTGAATTCATCATTCAGAGCTTCACGATAGGTTCTACCAAAGACACAAACGCAGTATGTGCAAGATGCATTTGGGATCGAGTAACCATACCTTGTCCCATGTTCCCAATGATTTGAGAAGATGGATTTCGTTTCTGTATATATGGTGGTGCTTCCTTCGTCCCAACCTGATCACTCTGTTCCACTGGTTCTGCCTCTGATGTATTTTCCCTTTCCAGCCTGTTTTCCTCAGGTCTGATTTCTTGATATGACCTTCCTAATCCGAGATCATCATCCTCTTCGATCTGTGCTACACACTTTCTAGGAGAATCGTCAAAAACCACATTAATGGACTCCTCTACTTTGAGGGTCCTTTTATTATATATCTTGTATGCTTTACTATGTTTAGAGTATCCCAGAAATATTGCCTCATCAGACTTGGAATCAAACTTCCCTAAATTATCTTTAGTATTCAAAGCAAAACACCTACACCCAAAGGGATGAAAGTAGCCTAAATTTGGCTTCCTATCCTTTCATAGCTCATAAGGTGTTTTATTCAGTTTAGAACGAATTAAGGCTCTGTTTATAGTATAGCATGTTGTGTTTATAGCTTCTGCCCAAAATTGTTTTGGCACTCCATAATCACTGATCATTGTCCTCGCGATGTCTATCAAAGTTCGGTTTTTTCTTTCCACGACTCCAATTTGCTGAGGTGTCCTAGGAGCAGAGAAGTTATGACTTATACCAGACTCCTCACAAAACTTGTCAAACTCATCATATATGAATTCACCTCCGTGATCACTCCTAATGTTTACAACCTTAGTCTCCTTTTCATTTTCTAGACGTTTGACTAACTTTCTAAACTTAAGGAATGTCTCTCCTTTATTTGAGAGAAACATTACCCAGGTAAATCTTGAAAAATCATCTACTACCACAAAGGCATAGTATTTCCCACCCAAACTCATTACATTGCAAGGACCAAACAGATCTAAATGAAGTAATTCCAACGATCTAGTTGTTGAAATAACATTCTTACTCTTAAAGGAAGATCTAACCTGTTTTCCCTTTGTACAGGCTTCACAAAAGAACTCCTTTCTGCTATTTATCCTAGGTATTCCAGTGACAATGTTCAGACTAACTAGTTTTGCTAGAGATCCTACACTGATGTGACCTAGCTTCCTATGCCATTCTAGTTGATCATTTTTGTCCATAGACATCAAACACATTTCATTAAAATCATTCTTATTGTTTAGATTTGTACAAAACAGTTTCCCTTTTCTTTTACCAGTGAACACAGTTTTCTTTGTTTCAATGTTTCCAACATAGCATTTGTTAGGTTCAAAAACGACTCTGTTTGTTTCACCACACATCTGACTTATTGAAAATAGATTGTGTTTTAACCCACATCACATTTTTAATTACAGGACCATTTCCTATTTCTCCCTTCCCTAAGATATAAGTACTAAAATTGTGTCCAAAGTAAACCTTACCTTTCTTACCCTTAATCAATTTTGAAAACAGTTTTTCATTTCCAGTCATATGGTGTGAGCATCCACTGTCTTCCATGCTCACTTGGAAGCAGACCTGAGACATGTCAGCTTCATCCTCACTCTCACCAATGGCCATGTATGCTTCATACTTTGCATTTACATCTCCCTCTTCTTCTTCATCCTCGCTGCAGCTCCACGTTGCTGTATAAGCTTGTTCCCGCTTCAGCTGTGGACAATCAGCCTTAATGTGACCACTTCTTCCACACTTAAAGCATCCACTCGATGAGCCAGCTTTGTCATTACTGTTGGCCTCCTTCCTGAATCGTGAGCCTGTTGTGATCTGCCTCATTTGGTCTTTTTCTGACTCTCCTTCCCTTGTTCGACTGTTGAAACCACTTTTCTTCTTCTCCTTCCTCATTCGAAGCAACTTGGCCACATGTTTTCTCAGCATAGCCAACTCCTCATCTTCCATATCCTCCAGACATTCGAATTCTTCTTCTTGTGCTGATGCTTTGAAGGCTATGCTTCTTTTATCCTTTCTAGGTTCTTCAGTTTCTGCTCGTCTTAACTTGACTTCATGAGTCACCAGAGAACCCATGAGTTCATCCAAGCTCAGCTTCGTCAGATCCTTTGACTCTTCAATTTCAGTAACCTTGGGTGACCACCTCTTTGGCAACGCCCAAAGCACTTTTCGTACCAAAACTGCACTGCTGTATTCCACTTCTAAGTTCCTTAAGCTGTTTACTATAGTAGTAAACCTATCATGCATTTCTTTGATAGATTCTTCAGGCTTCATTACAAATGACTCAAAGTCCTGTTTGAGACGATTGATTCTGGATACTTTGACCTGAGAAGTACCTTCGTGGGCTACTTGCAGTTTATCCCAAATTTCCTTTGCCGTTTTGCAGCCAGAAACCCGGTGATATTCCTCTGGACCCAAGGCGCAGTACATGAGATTTGTCGCCTTGGAATTCAGCTGAAAATTCCGCTTGTCTTCATCACTCCACTTGCCTCGAACTTCTTTCACTTCGAGTGGTCCGTCCAGCACTATACTCCAGAGATCAGGATCCAAACAGTTCCATTCGATTCCGCCAATACCCATAGTGGACTCCTTCGAATCTTGGTGGTCTGGTCTGAGAAAACCCATCAGCCATGAACACTCCACCGGTGCTAGCGCTCGAACTCATCTTCTCTGTAGGTGTTTAGACCTCGTTCGCCGGAGCCGGGCTCTGATACCACCTGTTGGGTGAATCGAGCGCGAGATTCCTGCCCTTCTTCTCTGCAATGCACTAGACAAGCTTTTAGATGACCAACAATTAGGGTTTTGATAGTGTTTGGAAGAACATAAAGAAAGTGAAATAAGAAAAACAAGATTTTGATCGAGGGAACCCTTCACCGAGTCTGATTTCTCGTTTCTGTTTTTTTACTCGTTCAATGGGCTCAACCTACTTCAGCCCACACGTAATACACCAAGCCTAAATTATTAACAGTTCAGAAAGGACACGGCCAAATTATCACTTCCTATTCTCTGGTTCATTTTAGTGAGAAACGATGCGTTTTGTCCACACGCTTCTCTTCCTCTTCCTCAGGCTGTCGTTTAGTTGCACAGACCTGCAGTCCAGAACAGAAAACAGAGTACCACAGTATATGTAAAGTAAAACTAAATTGCAGAATGGACGACACCAGATTTTTACGTGGTATATGGTTTGCAATGTGCAAAACTGACTAATCCACGGCCAAAGCCACTCGATTTGAGTCCTTTGACGATTCACTAGCACATCGTTCTTCATAGTTACTGTACACGAAACTGATCCCAAGTAACTTGGAATCACACAATTAGAATTGATCTCAAAACATCAGCTCCCTGCCAATTATCTTCCCTGATACCCAAATCTCTCAACGAGCTCTCTCCCTGACAACTCTCCTCCTTTTCTCTTTCAATTCAGACACCCTTAACTGTTTCTGCTATTGAAAGTCTAACTCGAAAAGGTGTCATATTCTACCCGAACCCTTCTGCTTTTATATTCCTACATTGCTGCCCGTTGAATGAATTTCAAAGAATGATCTTCGAGATCCTTGATAGCCTGATTTGTGGAACCTTTCTTCAATTGTTATGCTGACCATTTATTCCTTCAATTCTTTCCTTTTCTTTGTCAAGCTTTCTCCTAACACTGTATTGATAAGTTCAAGGCAAGGTTAGTGGCTAAGGGGTACTCATAGAAGGTTGTGATTGATTACAACGAGATTTTTGCTCCAATTGCAAGATGGGACACAATCAGAACACTCTTGGCTCTAGCAGCACATCATGAACTCACTGTTTATCAATGGGATGTCAAGAGTGCATTTCTCTATGGCACACTTACAAAAGATGTGTATGTTGAGCAATCACAAGGATTTGTGGTTGCTGGGGAGGAAGATAAAGTCTACAAGCTAAATAAAGCCCTGTATGGCTTAAAACAAGCTCCCAGGGCTTGGTACAGTAGGATTGAATCCTATTTTCTAAGTGAAGGATTTGAGAGAAGCACATATGAACATACTTTGTTCATACAGAGGAAAGAAGGAAAGATCCTGCTGGTCATTTTATATATAGATGATATAATCTACACCAGCAACTGTGAGGACATGATTACTGAATTCAAGAACTCATTGAAGCAGGAATTTCAAATGACTGATCTTGGTCGAATGAAATACTTCATGGGAGTGGAGATCAATCAAATTGAAGAAGGAATCTTCATCTCGCAGCAGAAGTATACAAGAGAAATGCTGGAGAAGTTCAATCTGTTGGAGTGTAATCATGTCAAGAGTCCAATTGCCACTGGAATGAAGTTGACAAAGGAAGGAGATGGAGTTGATGCAAATCAATCATAGTACAAGCAATTGATTGGGAGTTTACTTTATGCCACTGCAACTCGACCTGACATTATGTTTTCAGTTTGCCTACTAAGTCGATTCATTGAGCAACCAACAAGGAAGCACATGTTAGCTGCTAAAAGAATACTCAGATACCTTAAAGGCACACTGGGATATGGGATATGGTACCAGAAGGGTCAGGATGAAGACTGTCTAGTAGGGTACACTGACAGTGAATATGCAGGAGATTTGAACGATCGAAAGAGCACCAGTGGATATGCTTTCTTCTTAGATGGAGGGGTAGTTTTGTGGGCTTCCAAGAAGCAACCAGTGGTCACTCTCTCAACCATAGAAGCAAAATTTGTGGCTGCTTCTTATACAGCTGCTCAATGTATCTGGTTGAGAAGAATCCTGGAGCATATGGGTTGGGAAACCAGTGTTAAGAAGGCTACAAGAGTATACTGTGATAATAGCTCCACCATCAAGCTATCCAGGAATCTCATTCTTCATGGCAGAAGCAAGCATATAGACGTACGCTTCCATTTTCTACGAGACCTGGTCAAGGATGAAGTGATTGAATTGATGCACTGTGGTTTTGAGGAGCAAGCAGCTAATATACTAACTAAAGCCCTCAAGTTAGAGACCTTCGAGTTTCTAAGAGCCAAGTTGGGAGTAATTGAATTTGCAGCAAGAGAAGGCACCAGGAAGAGCGAGGATGAAGTGAACTGAAGCTTGAAGACTGGCTTCAGTTCAGGGGAGGATATGTGAGCTGAAGTCAGGGCTGCAGGCTGACTTGAATCCAAATCCGAGAAGGAGAAGGATTAGAGTTACAGCGGGAAAGCTTGATCGTTTGAATAAAGAAACCAAAACTGTGTCGTTTGGTCTAAGAGTCTAGCTGATAGGTTGTCTCTCAGTGGGACTTAAAAAAAGTGTTTGAGCTCTTTTGGATTACTTTTAACCATTGTGGTCTTTTTCAGTTTGGTCCTTGGTGTTTTGTTTAGAGTCATTGGAAGTCCAGTTCAAGCTGATTAGTAGGGCTGTTAGTGGATTCATGGGCACGAATCTAGGGGCTGGGAGTTAGTAGTGTGGCCGTTGTCAAAGGCTAAGTCTCTGTATTTAATTTTCGTTGATTATGATTAATAGACTTTGTCAATTTGCCCCATAAGAGTTTACATAGAACCTCGTGTTTCGTTCTGCCTACGCTAACTAAAAGACAAACTAATTGGGTGAAACATTGTCTTATGTCTATACCGATTAATGCCATACACCATTGTCATTGAGTTTGAATCAAGAAATGCAAAGAGATTAATCGGAACTAAAATAAACATAGCTCCAATTCCAAAATTTTCTAATAATTGACTCGGTGAACTACCTAAAATAACACGGTCTGGCGGCTTGTCTTCCCCTCTTCTACCTCGTGTATATATAGAAACAAACAAACTCCAGCTGTATAAACCCACCACCACCACCACCGCCGCTTCCTCCACTGCCATTCCTCGCCGTCCGGCCTATCTTTGCAAGCGCAACTAAAGCGTTTCCTCCTTCGTCTCATTTTCACTTCCTCCATTTACAAGTTAACAAGACGGTAGGGCAAATGGCAGCGCCGCCGAAACCACAGCTGGCTCCCCGATGGATTCCAAAGAGGGGCAGAGTTCTCAAAAGCTCCCTCAGACAGTTCTGTTGCTTCTGCTGCTTCGGAATACAGAACACCAAAATAGTTTCTTCCTCAACGGCGTTTCCCTCAGATAAATCGAAATTGAATTAGACATAATCTCCAGCAGTTTGGCCCTCCTCTGTTCCAGTCATCTATTCGTAGATTACAAGTTAGCTTAATATTTTTCTCTGCTTGGTGGGCTTGCTCCCGTTTCATGCAGTTCTGGTTTAACGTCCCACTTTGCAGCTGGTGATTTGCATTAGTTCTTCATCAATGTCGCTTTTTTTTTTTTTTCTCTTCGTTTTCACTCGGGTGAAAATGTAAACTGATTTGGTCCTTTTTGTTACCGTAACTGTAACTGTTTCAACGATATATAGAATTTTACAAAGCTGGTTTTCAACCATCGCCGACCGGAGGCTCTGTTCTTGATTTCCTTACCACAAAAAGTACCAGCGTCTATGGTTAAAAGCAGTGTACCCAGTCAAACTTTAATGTGTCGAGTCATCTAAAGACGGGGTCAACCACCCCGACCCAACATATACACCACAAATCCCGCCAACTGACTAGACACGTGGCAAGTACTATGCAAATTTAATTTGACTTAAAGATGTCCACATCTCGTTCGATCTAAGCATTCAACATTAACAGATTATGAACTCGCTATATTGTTATGTTGTTTAATCTTCATCAACATGTTAATCGAATTCGCATGCCAAAATGAAGTAATTTGGTTGAAAAACTTTGAAATAATCAATGAGGGCAACCTATGATGCCAAGTTAGACAGTCAAGTCCAGAGGAGACGCTTATGACTAAAAGACGCCAAACTTGACAGTCACATTCGCTTCCTCACGCACCAAGGTTTCACTTTCACTGGTGGGAAGGAAGAACATGGGACGAACTATTTGGAGAATGATTCAGTCAACGCCCAGCGGCCAACTGTACCAACAAGCCCAATTTAGACGGTGAACGCAAATGGGCCTCACTAAATTATTTGGTCTGGTCCTATAGAGAGTCTTCGGGCAACAAAACTGATGGATGCTGGTCCAGATGACCCTACGTGTGGGAGGCAGGCCATAAATTGAAGAAATGGCATTTTGGTCATCATATCAGGAGCTTTACTGAGGCCTGGCGAATTGGTCAACGTCCACCCACCAAGATTAAGCCCGTATCAAACATCAATTCGTATGGGCTAACGTCAACAATAGTAACCACCCAAGCCCACTACAATATCAGTGTACGTAGTAGCTACCGAGTGTCTATGTTGCAACCGAGCATAACTACTAACAAGGGACTCGATGTTAGACTCAGAAAATTTAGTAACAAGGTATTATGAAGTAGACTTTGTGAACTCATTAATGAATCTAGTTCGAGTCAAGATTTTAACAAACAAATTGAACTCGAGATACATAAAAATTCAACTGAATTCAGCTCATTTTCATTCCGAGTGCGCATGTCCGAAGCATAAAATTTGGGTATCACTATCCGAATTTATGGGATTCATTGATTCAATAACTAAATACGAATTAATTCTATAAAAAAAAAAATTGTTAGGGATTGTCTCTGTGAGAAGTTTCCACATATCCTTGAGGAAGTTGCAGTGAGTAAAGAGATGACAGTTCGTCTCTTCATGTTGATCCACAGAGACACTATCTATTTGGGAAACTCCATTCTCTTTTGTTTCAATTCCATCGGCCAGAGTTCACCTATGAAAGTTTTATGTAGTTGTCCTTCTTAATGGGTGAACAAATTAAAGAAGTCAATACTCATTTGCCTCATGTCTAATGTAGACAAATTTGAACCCATTTCGTCCAGATGCCTATTAGCAATGCCACTTCAACCGATTCAAACATACACTTGAACAAAATATATATCTATGGTAAAATAAAAATAAATTACCAAAATAATTCACCTGTACGTCTACGCCTCTAAGGTTGTGCTTGATGAACATCACTGATTCTTGGTTATTTGTTTTTACTAGTTATATTTTATTTTTCTGTATCACATTTTTAAATAATCTCTCACGTGAGTCGCCGTTAATGAGAGGAAGAATCCCTAACCCAATATTTTAAAGGACTCTATCTATACAGAGATTACAGACTACGTGTTGCCAGTTGCAAAATGTTCATTATTATTTACTTACAATTACAATTACAGCAGGCAGAAGAAAAACTCGGCTAACCCAAAGGATGCATGCTGGCCGGCCATGACCGCCCATTTCCAGCCTTTTTCCCTTTTGATTCATCTTCACGAAACCGCACCCTCCACTTCTCGGAAACCTAATATATACTAATAGCTAGCTAGCCTGGTTCATCGACAAGAACCCCACAAAAACTGCAGTCGTAACTTGTTGTTCAAGTAACAGAGAAATTGTGTTCAAGTCAGTACTAATAAGAACCCTACTACGCATTTCTCCCCGCCACGCACCCACATGCACTAGTTTGACCTCTCTACGGTCCATTTCACATTGTTCTCTGCAAAACCCAAGATATATAAGAAAGATCTGTAGCAGCAGATCGAGTCATATTTTTCTTCCTTATCTCTGCCCTCGAAACCTAACGCACATTATCAAAGTAATCAAATTTATAATCGCCCAACGCGTTCGTTGACAAAAAGCTACAGGTCCATCATTTTGTACAGGAAAAAAGAAACCGAATCCTCGCCAGCCAGAACAAAGACGAAAAGAAGAAAAAACGGGATAGTTGAAAGTCTCGAACCAACCTAATACGAGTCTGTAAGAAAGTGATATAAGACCAACAACTCGCGAGCTAGCTAGTTTACTAGGAACAAATTATAATATTATTACTTATTAGACATCAAGTCCAGAGGTACTCCCGCTTGAGAGGGTCCTGGATCATGACTCCGCTGTTCCCACCCGAAGCAGCAAAGTTGAGGTACTGATGATGGTTCTGGACCGCGCCGAAATTGGTGGTAGCCATTGTGCTCGCCAGGAGAAGCGACTTGCTGTCCATGGCGTCGTCAAGATTACTATGGTGAACATCAAGCTGCTGATGTTGGTCGAGCTGCAGGTGGCTGGGACCGGTCGCAGCGGGGTCTTGCTGCATCTGGATGCAGAGGATCTCGGCCTGCGCGACGGCGAGCTGCATCTGGAGCTGGGAGACTTGGTTCTGGAGGAAGGAGATGGCCCCGACGCAGCCGTAGACCGGGTCCCGCACCCTGGCGTTGGCCTCGTACACCAGGCTGCTTACCGCGTCCGCCCTCTGTTGCACCGGTATCTCCTGTTATTTTTGTTAAACTAAATACCATTATTTTCCGGAAGGTAAAGAAAAAAAGGAGAAAGAGTGAGGCATTTTTTCTCGGGGAAAGGGAAATGGAAAATGAGAGGAGAACCTGGAGCATCTTGCTGACGTTGCTGGCGCCGAAGACCTTGTGGACGATGGCGAACTTGTGGGGGTCGTCGGAGGGGAAGTAAGGGGCGAAGATGCAGTCCTTGGCGCAGCGGCGCCTCAGCAGCTTGCAGGATGCACACGGCGACGCGCCTCCCATACTGTTCGATCAGAGGGTCGATCTCGCGACCGCAGATATATCAACTTGTATACCTAATTGGGGTGCTGGGAAAGAGAGAGAGAGAGATGTGATGAATGAAGATGAGAGAGCTGAGAGAGAAGAGATGGATGAAAGTGAGAGGCGATTCAGTTCAGTGGATGGTTATTTATAACAGTTCTGGAGAGAGAGAGAGAGAGAGAGAGAGAGAGAGAGAGAGAGAGTGATGGACTCGGTTCATTGTTTTTGGGTTTCTTTTGACAATCCGATGATAATTTTCATATTAAGAGAGAGATGGGATTTGGTGTGTGTTGCCTGAACGAGGACTCGATGGTGTACGTGGTAGAAGTATATATCCAACTAGTTTGGGAAATAATACTGTTGGTTGTGCAACCGAATGTTTTCATGGATGGAAATTTGATAGCGTGAAAATGGAAAATACATAACCCATTATCTGAAAATAATAATAATAATAATAATAATACTGTTTTTATTATTAATTTTTTCGAAGAGGAAAAGAATTAGGAATATTCAAGCGCGCAAGGTGACAAACTGGTTTGGAAGTCTTTACATCCCATGTTTGAATACATGACTCAATTGTGTGCTGAGGTAGGAGAGTCTTCCTCCAAATTTGAGAGTTTCGCCATGCAAATGCAAGAGAAAGTAACAGTAGCTCATTCGTTCAGAATTTAACCGAGTTTTGAAACAATTATATTGTAATTAACTCCTCGGTAGATTGTAAAACGTACGAATGATTGTATAGATAAGAACACGACAAGTTAATTAGGGGGAAAATGGAACTATTTTGGAGAGCTAAGCTCTCAAAAGAGTTTCATTATAGAGGGAGAGTAGAAATCAGACTAGTTAACATTATCTGCAATGAATATTTCAATATTCAGCTTCGAAATATTATCTAGTCAAGCAGAGTATTTATCGCTAAAATGAAGGTTTTGGATTGGATGAGGGTTTTTTTTTGTACAACCCGTCTCTTTTGGGTTGAATTTGGATTTTGGATTGCACAACCTGTGGAACCCGACCCAACCCGTGTTCCAATTATTGGTATGAGTTCTTATCCAAAAAAATATTTATGTCGTATATAGCCATACTTATGAGAAAATTAAGATATTTCGCCATGTTTTTCTCTCATGTATCCCTAATCTAATGCATTCTTCGGCTTAAAGTTTAGACATAAATTTAATTTAGTTATGATTCAAACAAATGTCGTGGGAAAAAACTACACATAAGTTTAAGTAAATCAAATTTTATTAAAATTCAAACAACATTTTTTAATTTTGATACCTTTAACCTCGGTTTATTCGTTTGAATTTTTAATTAGTTATAAAATATTTTTATGGTGTAGAATAATTACATATTTTGTGTTGGGTTGAGTTGAGTTTTTACTTAAAATTATCGTCAACCCGACCCAACCCAATTAGAAACAAACCATAGGGTTTAAATTTTTTTAGGTGGGTTTTGATTTAATATTTATCAAACCGTAGTGCATGGGTTGGATGATGAAAATGTCTAAACCCGGACCACTCGACCCATTTACACCCCTAACTACCGTGAACAAAGAAATGAAGGAAATCAACTATGCTAACTAGGGGCCGGAGAACCACAAGAGAAGAGAAATTCCTAGGGAGGAGAGTTCCATGAGAAATTATTTTGAGAAGAAATTGGGTTGAGAATTGAAATTTATGGTCTTGATTATGCAAGTAAATTGGCCTCTTAACTAGTCATAAGTCTCCATTAAAACAATTGTGACCCTTTTAATCAAATAAGATGATTCACTTTCATACAAACCTATATACTCAATTGAAGCAATCAATTCTACTCTTTTATCAATGATGAGTTCTAATCTCGGCTTACAAGATTTTCACTTTCTAAGCTAAGAACTAGTAATGCTCAAAAGTGATCAAGAATTGAAAATTAGAAGATAAAACGATCAATAGATATCATAATCATCAACCATAAGAATAGGAGGAACAAAAAATTTGACTCAATACGCTATCAAACACAAATTTGACGCAAGATGAGAGAGAAACTACACAAAGAATAGGAGAAACAAAAAATCAAACTTGGATCTATCCTCTGCTTGTTCCTTTATTCAATTGGATTTAATTGGATGAGTTATTGGGAGGTTTTTGCTTCTTCAAGCACTAAAAAATCATTCTCTCACTCCTAATATCGTATTTATAGTGCTTCCTCCCTCCAAAAATTACCTCCAAATTTTTTGAGTTTCAGCTTTATACCCATAGGAGAGGGAAAACACGCCTTGGAAAATATGGTTGTGTGTTTTAGCACTCCGTGTCGTGTTGTTTAGACCATATGTTGCCTTTTTCATGCTGAAAAATATGATCTCGTCATAAATAATCTCCAGACACAGGTCGTGCTTTTTGGACCTCCTTATGTCTTTTCCTCAAATAATCTCGAATGATCCAAAATTTTCCCCAAATGTTCCTTAACATGCTAAAACCTTCAATAAGAGAATAAACAAACCTAGCATAAAAATGAACAAAGAGAGAAAAGCCACAATGAAAATGGCCAAGAATCGATCAAACCCATGTTATAAATGAACTACACTTAGCATGAAGCTGGCCTAAAATTTTCAAAATATGATAATTATAACACTCAAAAGTCTAAGAAATGTTCAATAAAATGCGTATAAATTCAACGTTATCAATGTGAGTGGACCGTCTTGTGAATAGAGGCTTGTTTGCTATGTGCTTGTTTCCTCTTGATTTGATTGGTGATTTAAAGGTAGATTTGCTGTAAATGTTTGTTGAAAGGATGAGAATGAGAGGGTACGATTACCTATTGGATTATTATGAGATTCGAAAATGCTTGCATTCATGATATGTGAAATGGAAAGAGTGGCGCGAGTGATTCTAGCATGCATGTGAAAGAAAATGGATATGAACGTTCATTTGATGTGTTCATACAACACACATAGATTTAGAAAGGACATATACCTACTCCAGATGTGTGAGTAGGTTAGATAGAGCATGCACTACAAAAATGTGATTCATGATAACGAGTTGTGATTATTTGGGCTTGAGCAGGGTGGGCGTACGTATATATGGTAATTCGTCACTCACTCAACTTAGTAGCTGATCCACTTGTTATAAGATTCGTCGATGGAAGAGTCCAGAGGAAGGACACTAAGAGCAGAGCAACCTTATACACGACGAGATAGAGGTCTGATATAGATTTTATAAATCATTCCATACGGTCACATAGTCGTAGTGATACTTAGCAATTTTCTCGTTCAACAATGTAGCACCATCATCATTGCTAACTAACCAAAATGTCACCTCACTTTGGCTACGACCCAAAAGTAATGGATGAAGATGCATAGTCCGAGTCTACAGTCCAACAAACGGGAGGTGCGTGGCGGTGATGGGTTGGCAAGAAGAAAGCGCAATGAATTCTCCATAGAATCGAAACGCTAGTAAAACAAGTCCTGGAAACCACGTTCTCCTTTGACTAATCAAAAAACATTTATATGAGAAACACGATACAAAGAAAGAGAGGAAAACAAAGGCCACACAGCCCACAGCTGATGAACATGATTTAACTATGATTGCCTTTTTTTTTTTTTTTTGTTACCGCTGTCAGTACATTAATTAATTAAGTTGGTCAATTAATGTTTTTTCTTGGTTCGTTAATTAATTATTGATTATTGATGGCAAGAAAAAACCTCAGGAAGTGTGTGTCGTCTGCGTGGGAGAAAGGGGTCATTAATAGGGTTATGGTTTACACATGCAAAGGCAAATCTATGGTGGAGAGAAAGAGAGACGCCTACCCCAACCCAAGGCCAAGATCAAGAGACCCAAGAGAAATGGGCTCGACGTGAATGTTTGTTCGCGCGCACATTCACATGGAAGAAGAAATTAAACGAGTCTCTCTCTCTCTCTCTCTACCCTCTCTCTCTCTAGATGATGATCGATCTTAAGGTCAAATCTAACGATGTAAATCACTAGGTCTGTAGGTCAGGGAGAGAGAGTCATTAATGCATAAGTATGGTCACTGTAGACATCCATAGAAACGTTAATAAACTAATAATACCTGATTCCTACTGAACTAGTATAAGATACATTTGTTGTTGTTGGGGAATAAGAGTAAGTGAGAGGAACAGGAAGCCGATTACAAATTTGATGCAGTTGAAAATTTAGTCAATAATGTTTATATTTAAATTTATGAAGTTCCTATGTGAATTTAGAGGTGTTGACTGTTGAGTAGCATACCATATATATTTTACTTGTTTTTCTTTCTTTTGTTTTATTTTGTTTTTCTTTGCATAATCCGCAGTTATGGCTGTTAATTATCCGAGCCGAATCAAGTTTTGTTGTGGTTCGGACTTGGTTCGTTTAATTAATTATATAAGCTCGAGTTCGGTTCGTCACGAGCTTTAATATGCAAGCTCAAACTCGGCTCGAGTTCGGCTCTTCAAATCAGTGGCTAACCCAAAAATTTTACACAGGGGTGTCCTCTTTCAAAAAATAAAGTAAAATAAAAATAATAATTAAATAATTCTTAAATAAGAAAATACCCAACTCGTACAAGTTAAAAAAAGTCTATGGTGTATTTTCATATTCTTAAAAATTGTAAAATACATTTGGTGTCTACACTACTCATTCACAAACTTACGCATATTCGACTTCTAAATTTGTTCTTGAAGTAACTCAAAGCTGAGAAGACACTTTGATCACTTGTCGTACAACTATAAAATCAATGCAATTTTTTTTTCCAAAAGATCGCTCGTATTATCGAGAAAACATCCAGATACAAAGAGTCACATAGCTGAAAACAACCAAGAAACAAAATTGAACCCCACTAAAGAGGGGGACAACGAAAGGGCTTTTCTTGCCACCAAGTGGACAACCCTATTACATTCACGACCAACCAAAATAACTCTAAACTCCTGGAACAAGCCCCCGCAAACTTTGTATCTCCTCCAAAAGCGTATCGTCAATGCAAATTAAGAGTAGTTTGTAATTAGATTCATTGTTAGGTTTTGAAAATAATTAAAGATATATAGAAAATAGGACTTTGCTATTACAAAGTGTTTAGAATAGAACAACAAAAAAGTTGTAGCCTGATGGAAATTATATTTATTAATAATAGTAGTGTCCCAAGGTTGAATTACCCAAACTAACACTTATATTCTCATACGCAAACTACAAACAAGAGTAGGATAATCATTTTTCCAAATTTCAGGGTGTCCCGAACTATTAATTATAATTTTTTTATTACCACCGAAGGTTGGGTAATCCTTTTTACAAAATTTAGGGGTGTCCCTGGACACCCCTAAACCCTCCTGAGTCCGCCCCTGCTTCAAATGAGTTTAACGAGGCAAAATCAAGTTCAACTCGTAATTTGATTGATTCAACTTCTAAGACTTTGGAACAATTAGAAAATTACAAAAATAAAACCATTATTTTGAACAACAAAGAGCAAACAGGGGCGCAAGAATGCCCAACGCCTTGCATGTTACTCCCCGTTATACAAACAAGAGTAGAAGATGTACAATCTGCTGAACATGAGATGAATGGAGGCAATTCTCGGATCTGAAGACCTAATAGGAGGTTTTTGGATCTTCACGCCAGAAGAAGTTCTCGGCTTACAGGTTTTGGAAGTAAAGAAATGAGTGAAGGTGGACAGAGGAGATGCAAGCATTTGCGGCTGGATGAAAAGAGAGGATTTTGCATGCTAGGTCACCGTTGCGACCTCACAAAGATGCAGCACAGGCAATTAGGAGGTGGGATGACAGCAAAGGAGTACTAGGGTTCTCCATTAGTTTCCTTTCAGATTTTTAGTGATTGACTGAGGTTGCGAGTCAGACGGGTTCCATTTTGTTTCCCAATAACGTGGCTTAATGAACTAATGTAGTGTAAATGAGGAGGTGGAAAGTCAGACGTGTTTACACTACTTTAGTCCAAATTAATACGTTGTTAGGGTTGGATGAGCTAGTTTAGTTTTCAACGAAATAATAATAATAATAATAATAATAATAATAATAATAATAATAATAATAATAATAATAATAATAATAATAAGTTAGACAAGCTTGTTCCCGAGTTATATCGTGTTGAACATGTCGAGGCTCGAATTCGGCTCGTTAATAACAAGATTATTCGCGATCGAGCTAGCTTGATTAAAACCGAGTTGAGTGTCGGACGAGTTTTTCTTGAGTCAAACGCCAAGATCGTTCATGAGTTGTTTGGTTCATTAACAGCTCTATCCGCAAGTAGTTTTGTTTGTTTTCCGTGAAGAACCAAAAACATTCAATTACATGTGTTTGCCATCGATACTGCTTTTGGTTCATGCACGTCACAAACTACAAAAATGTTCAGAATCAGTCACAGACAAAAAAAAAATGTTCAAATCTGTATTATCACGTACGAAAGTAGTAGAAAAGGAAATTCTTTAAACAGATTTGTGAAGGAATGCTACATGCATCTTTAAATGGACTTATAACTCTTGTTCCAAAAATTTACCACGAGGCGAGGCCCCGGCTTGCTTGGGAAGGGCACTATGGTCAAAGGAACACATTGTGCTACTGCTCTATGAATAAGTATAACTATCACGAACAGATAAACAGTGCTTTACCGAGCTTTTCCACAAGAAATTAAATCCCCGCGTGCGCTAATTCATTTCCCCTCCAGAAATAAAAGAACGATAATTTTGTTTTATGAACGAAATAGCAAATTTATGAACCTCATATATATGAAGATAATGATGCAACGACTTGACCATAAGTTTGCTTAGTATGTGTGCATTCGCATTCTTATGGCGGCTTCCTGTTCTTGTTCCCTGAGGACTGACCAACTTGGTCTTTCGAAGAACATTTCCTAAAGCCATACAAATGGTGCAGCCATTCGACCAAAGGTTGTTTGGAAGACTGAGAATGAATTGATGAAATCGCACAAGCTAGCTGCAGAATTAAGGGAATGGTGCAAGATGAATCAAGCGAATGGTGCATGGTTCAAAAAGATGATTTTAAACTCAATATTTTCAATCGTTCGTCAATTTTATGAGTTATTGAACTATGATTTTATAAACTTGTGATCCTTTTTTTTTTATTGTCGAACACTAATTTATTAAGTATTAACCATTTGAACAAAATTAGAAGTGTCGTGAAACAATTATTTTATTCATAATTTAGCACAAACTGTTATTTTTGCTTCCATCGCCTAGGCACGTTTAAGCGACATTTAGACAAGTTAGGTGCTATGCAAGACCCCAACATCCGTCTTACACCTAATGTCTTCTTCAACTTTAATTATGTGTTATAACAACTAGAAAATTTAGTTTCTAATTCTCTTGTGTATTTAGTCAAGTTGAAGCAAACATACCAATAAGTAAGAATAGGATGAACCTGGGCTTGGTGGTATAAAAAGGCCATTACTCAATGTTCTAGCTAGGTAGGTGAGTGCAAGATGAGTTTAAATGACTTGTATATCATAATCGTGTACAAGACTTCAAATGCTAATGTGTATGCTGAGGCTGGGCTAATATTAAATACTGAAGTGATAATAATAATAATAATAATAATAATAATAATAATAATAATAATAATAATAATAATAATAATAATAATAATAATAAAGCTACTAATGCAATTAATGTGAAACAATTTGTGATCAGATCCGACAGGAAGCAAGGTGTTAAGAAATAATAAAAACATCTCTATTAAGAAAAGACGGACCCGTTTCCAGAGACTGAAAACTTCGGCATCGGGGAAACCCCCGAAAACAAAAAACAACAAGGAAGAATTGTTAATGAAGGAATCGTAGAACCCTAAAAACCACCTTAACTCTTCTTCGCATTTAATGCCTTTCCACATGATTCCAAACTTCTAATCTTCTGTTCCCAGAAGAACAAAAAGGTTCTTCTCTCCCTAGCTACTTGTACTTGTCATGGCCTACTGCACACATTTCTATTTTCCTTTTCACTTCTGTTTCGTTTCTTCTATTTCATTTTGTTTCTCCAGAATCTGAGGTACCTGTCAATCTTCAGATTCACCATAGGGCGGTCGTGATTGATGCGAGCGATGTAAGTGCATTATGATAATTTACTTTTCTCGCATGCAGGACAATAGTTGATTTCGAATAAGAATATGATGAAGGTATAAACACAATGCTTACGAATAGCTCATTCAGTAGACAAATCGAATTCATTCTAGCAATCCGGGCTGCTAAGCTAGGCACAAGCATGCATCCAACCATGCCACGATCACTCACGTACGTTTCTATGCATTCTAAGCACCACAATCCTCTCTCTAATCGCGAATCTAACAATTATATATGTATAAGAACGATATCTACACCTACCCACTCAACCACATAGCCAAATTCTTATTCTATATCGAGCTTCTTTTTGGTACATAGACATCATATCTCAACCTAAAAAACCATAGAGAAGTGAACAGGGGGGCCAATCTGTTCAATTTCTAATTCCAAGTTTCAGAACCCTATGCTATGACACTCTAGGAAGACGGAAAACAGCAATTTGATTCTTTCCCTAGTAGTAGTAGGTGGTGAGAACCTTGTATTCTTTTTGTTTTTTCTGTTTCTCTCTTGGGGGAAATTTTTTTAAGTTAAAAGAGGAAAAACAGACATCTTGGCAGTTCCATCTCTCCCTCTTGGAGGAAATTAAAACACACCCAAGCTCCAATGCAAAGAGCATTTAATGTGCTTGGTGATATGGAAGATTCGGTTCCCTTGAAGTGTGCATATTTTTTTGTATTTTTCCCCCCGCTTTACAATTTGTTTACTTCAAAAACTCTGAAGAGGTGGAAAAGATCAGAAGCAAAGTGTTCGAGAATGCTAACCTGTTTGCTGTGTCTTTCTGGTCTCTGTCCCTTTAGCAAACAGAGACTTGAAATTCAGTTGCTTGAACAGGCAGCATTGGTTGTTTGGATTTCCAATGTCGCCACCATTATTATCAGTATACATATCCTGCAATGTAAAGAGAGAGAAGTAAAAATTACTAGGCTGTACTAGTAATGAGAAATCACGTGATTATGACACCAAACACCATGGCCAAGGTGCTAAGCTAATTTGTTTGCTGCTGCAGCAGCGGGAGCTAATTAAGTTTTTTTCCCATGGGTTCAGATTTTAGGGCTTCTCTGCACAAGATGAAATTTATATCTGTCCCAGAACCTGACGTTACTTTCTTACCTCCAAACTATACTTGGTGAATTGCACTTTGTCGGTATTTGTTTTTTGCTCCCTGCAAAGGAAAACCCACATTAGAGCTTAGAAGGTAGACATCTATGAACCACATAGGCCTACTGCAAACGAATGACAACAGAGTAACAGACTAATTGTGCAACTACCAACATTGGAACAGAACTGAAGGTACCAGGTACAACATCTCCAACAAGCAGTAAACCAGCCATTTGGTCAAATAGTGCAGATTTTATGCGTATAGGGGATCTCCACTACAGCTTTCAGTCTGCAGTTCTATCAAGAGTTCAAAATCAATGCCATCCATCAAGGCCATATACTTACCTCTTGCCCGAAGATCTTACAAGCTGATAGAACACCTTTATTTGCTACCCAATTGGAGTATCTGGAAGCATGAGTCAATGGAGCAAGCATGAGAAATGTGTAATAGAAAAGATCTATTGCCTACTACATATTAGAGTGTCATTGTGTGCCTTGGTCACTATGGACAAACAAGTGAACGTTTCATTAGAGAAGAGAGCAGATTTACAAGGCAATAAAGGACACAGTTCAGCCTCACCAGACCAACTCAAACAACCACTGTTGAAATATCAGGAGCCACCTGCCATGTAAAATCATTTTTTTGGAAAGAACTGAATTCTGATCCATGTGCAAATTAATGCACCACTTGATTTCCCAGAAAACTTACCCGCTGATTAAATTGCACTTTTATCTTTCCCTAAATTCCATTACCGTCTCCATTTCATTAACATATCACATATGCCATAACAAACCCAAGAGGCTTATGATGATATCCAGCTAGCTCATCTTCTGATCCTAGATTCGGATCTTAAGGCCAACAGTACCTCTGAAAAGCTAATTGCATGTTATTACTGCAGCTCTCTTCACGGTTAATGTATCAGTAACTTTCATCTATCAGGGTTAGTTAAAAGAAGGCAATGGTTAGACCACAATAGGAAAACGTCATAGTTAATTCCAGAGAAATAAATCTTAATGTTAATGGTTAAGATACCCCTCACTTGAAACCTGCAAAGGAATTCTTATGATAAACTAGTACCTGACAACTTTGTCCAATTGCTTCAGTAGCTCAGTACCTTGAGAATCAATTAGATGCTATTCATATGCCCAACCAGAGTAGAGTAGACGTTGCAAGCCCTCTACGTCAACTCTTGTGTTTCCCTTTTCTTTAAGGGTAATTTGCCAGCTAAACATGGTTGTGGTATAACCGAGAGCAGTCTTGCTACTTGTGGTATAACCTAAATTTAAAGCTATATTCTGGCTAATAATAGTGTCCACCATTCTCAAATCTTTCTTTATCTTTCTTTACTTGGCTACTACAGCTGTTGACCGAAAGAAGGAAAAGCTACTTCTAGTATGTGCATAACATAACTCACCAAGTAGTTGTCACTTGTCGGCCTCAACTAGTTAGCTTCATTTTAGATGACCACTTGCAATCTGAAATCAGCTATTCTGCTGCACTGCTGGATCCATTAGCCAATCTAACATAAGTTGGACATGTATCACAGTCAACCCAGACAAATGTGCATCCTTATCTCCATCATGCCGGTTTGGTCCATGAGTTCTTCTCAAGACCTAGCAAAGATCCTGATCCAGTAGTCTATAGGAAAAAGGTTTCATAAACAAAATAACAAGAAATTATATCTTTGGAACAGAATAAACAACTACATGAATAGGCATAAAGTTCAAGTGCGGAAAGATTTTAGATAACCACATGAAACCAATTTTATTATTACGATGAACTTTAGCTCTCTAAGCAAGAGATTCAATGAAATTCGCCTGACCAAAGTACACATAACTTGATATGATTTACACACCCTAACCTCATCACAGTGATGTAGTTCTATGTACCAGTAGCGACAATCTGGGCAGAATCCCACAAAAGCAGTTAAGAAAGCAAATTTGCACCAACTGTGTTGATGTTCTGTCTCACACTTTTACGTTCATGTAATTTCCTTGCATTTCGCTTCTTGATTGCGCTTCTAAACAGAATGCTAGCTACATGATGCGACTGCCTAGAAGTTGACATATGATTTTGGCTTCTGTCTAGTATCCTTCCTCTTAGATATTCTGCCGTGTGTGCCTGGACTACAAATAAGCAAATGGAAATTGAGATAATTAGACAAAGAGCTAGTGAGATGACAATTAACATTTAAAAGAGATGGCTTTGACCATCAATATCAAGCATCGGCCACCAAGAGAAGCAACAACCATAAATGCACTTCACAACTATATAGCGACCGACAAGCAACAACATGGCAGAATCGATTGGTCAAGTTGATATTCCTGCAACTAGTGTTGGCCAAGTTAACCTAATCAAAGATCAACTTCTCTTTCTAAAAATGGTAGGTCATGTTTGAACATTTTGTAGACAATGAAAGTATAACCACATAAAAGAAATCTGAACTTATACAGGCTACAAAATTTCTTACACCATTCCATCAGTATAAAACTCATCATCTTGAAGCATTCATTTGATCCAAAACCATCATAAAGACTGCAGAAATAAATACAAAGAAAATACAGCCCTGATACAAGGAAAGGATCATCCGGTATAATGAGCATCAACAACAAGGCACCAAGTAAGCACAAAACATAAAATAATTCCATGCTTGGATACTCTACTAAGTCTCTTTGGTCATAATATCAGTTGCTTTAAAGCAACTAATTAATCTCGGAGCCTAGATTGGCTAAGCTGGCTGCCCAAAAACCGCAGAACCAATGTAGTCAAAATCGCGCTTTAAAGCTTAAAAACGTACGCTTTTACGCTTCTAGGTCACTAAAAACGCCTCTACGCAAAAACTCAGTTTTTATAACTAATGTAGTTAAAAATGCGCTTTAAACCTTATGCACTTACGTTCTAGATCACCAAACGCTTCTACTTAGAAACGCGCTTTTGACTACATTGCACAGAACCCACGAGCATAGGTATTTGTCATACTTACTGTTCATAGGTAAAAGTTAAAATAGAGAGCTAGATATTTCTATAAGTTGCTTTAGAGCATACTGTTAACCTTAGCTAAGAAGCTTTGAGACTTTTCCTCAAATGGTGTACAACATAACTATTTTCAACTGTTTTCACCTTCATCAAAAAAAAAAAAAAAAAAAACATAACTATTTGCAACTGATATGTCCAATATAAACTTAAGTAAAATTCATCCATTGGTTTAGTTCTATATAAATGGACCTTTTGATAACACAACATCATCGTCAATCCAAAGCACTAACAGTCTATAAGAGCTGTACTTTTAGAATGCTACCTAAAGCTGCCTAAATGGCAGAAGAGAACTTTGAACTCCTATTCTTGCTGTGCAGAAAAGCTGTATTTTCGAGAAAATCACAAAGCATTAAGCATATGATTTAGTTGGATGGGTTATGATCTGTTTCTTTTTTAGACATATTGAGTTAACAATACCATCATTGATAGTATGCCGCAGATATTATCCAAGGGAGAAAAAATCTTAATGAAGATGGTTGGAAGTAGGAAGTCCAAGATTGGAACAGAACAATGATGCATCTGAGAACAGTGATCTCCATATCACCAGCCTGGATAGCCAAGTCAAAATTGGAGCAGAACAATGACGCATCTAAGAGCAGTGATGTCCATATCACCAACCTGGATAGCCAGCTTTCTAGCAGATATGCATTGTTTTGGTTGGATTAAATGTTTAGGAAACAGTTAGCATCACATACCAGAGCTTGAAGCTCCAAACTTCAGAGCACGCTCCTTGAGCCTGTTAACTACGTCAACTGCTTCATCGTGTTTTAAAGGTTCTCCAGTTTTGGTATCTGCAGGACCAGCATTGCTAAGGCATGATAGGGCCTTGTCACATGCCTAAACAAGCAAATTATAGGATCAGTAGAATCGATCAAGCTGATTTCAATCAAGATAAGCGACTGAAAACTGATAAAATGCCAATAGCAGACAAAATTTCTCCAGACAAATTGATTGGTAACAACTAGCGTCAAATAGTATCAATTTTGCGATGATTCTACATTCACTCCCACCTCTTTCAAGAGTGCAAGTTCTACGGATCATCAAGGCAAACAGATGAATAACTACTTCTCAGCCACAGGGAGACACAGGCCATGATTCCTAGGGTATGAATTGTTCAACAACTCCAAATGGAAGGATAATCAAGCTATGACACCTGATTACTAAGTCTAAAATTCTGAAACTGTGCCTAACCGACTGTAACATTCTAGGCTCACAAATACGACTCACAAGCTAACAACGGCATTTCACTCCCATTTTCAGTTTGATATTACGAATTTGCAGATACAATCAGCAAAAGAAATTGACCTGACGAGCCACGGCATGAAATCCATTGTCGAGTGAGTGCTCGGCGAAATTCAGCCACTCCTCATACGAGACTCGCATCCACTGATCAGCGGAGGATTTGATATCCCGGAGCAGCAATCCCTCGTACTTGAGCGCCAAACAACTCTGTCAAACACGGAGGAAACGACGGTTGAAAGTCAGATGAAATACAAGAGACTGATCGGGGACTGTCTCCGAGGATGAGAATTCGCACCTCGATGTCGCCTATCAGAGCGAAAGCGCGGACAAAGAACTCGACGACCGAAAGCTTCTGCTCGACTGTGCGCTGTGAGAGCTCGCGAATGACAGCGAGAGATTCCGATCTCATGAAGTCTTTCAAGCTCGACCGCGTTTGCATGATCGACTTCACGTCTTTGCAGGCAAGAACCGATTCGAGAATTCTCAGGGATTGGTCGTCGAATCTGCGAGAGTCCACAGAGATTGCAGAAAGAATTGAAGCAAAATTTGAACATTGTGGAGGGCGAGTAGAAGACTGGGTAGGAGAACGAGGGATTTCACAGAAGGAACCTTCTGGCGACGATTTGGGAGCGAAAGAGACGGGTGTGCTGAGCAGTTTCTGGGAGCGACATTTGTGCAATGGAATTGGCGGGGAAGGACTGTACCTTGTGATTTGTTATTTTCACGGTAATTAAAGGCAAACCCCAGTCTGACTGGCATAAGACTAATGTTAATTAACGTAGTTTGACTTGACTCACAGAGGCTTGCTAAATCAAACCGTAAAACTTGGGTTAATTCCTTAGTATTGTTTTTTTTTTTTTTTTACTTTAAAAACTATTTACACAAATATTGTGTTATGTAGAGGGTTAGGAGTGTGCCCGCCTGAGACTCAGGCGGAGCTGCTATGGAATTTTTTTGTTCAAAATTGGGCGAACTCACCTGAGTATGAGGCGGTGGCACTCTCCCCCATTTTTACTTTTCCTCCCCGCCACTCATATCTTATCAACATTCTTCTTCTCCAAATAAATCACCACCGCTTCTCCTTCCTCCTCCCAGCAGCGGTCCCGTTCGATTCCAAGCGGCCATGCCTAGACAGAAGGCGGCTTCACCCCGGACCTGTCAAAGCCCACCTGAGACTCAGGCGGCCCCGCCTCAACCCCTTGCGATTTCGCCCTCCATCTTTCTTTTTCCCTCACCCCCGTCTCTCAGCCAGCAACAACAGATCTAGTGGTTTGGGGAGAAAATATTCGACAACGAGGAAGCAATCTCCAGCAGAGGAAGGGGCAGAGGGCAGCGAGATCAGGGTCGTGGCGGCGAGTTTTTTTCAATTGAGTTTTTATGTTCTGATTAATTTTTTTTCCAGTTCCTAGACTTATGGACAGTTATTTCATGAGACCACTACTTGCGACAATTGATATAGATCCGGTGGATCTGGTACTTGTTTGGGGACATGGTTACCATCGTATTGACTCAGTTTGGGCAAACGAGTTAAGTCTTCCAATTACTTCTATTGTTTTTTTTATTAGGTGAACTGAACTGAAATTAGAATAGAATTACGCATGAAATATGTTGAAATTAGTATAAGTTTAGATTAGATATATTTTACTAGGTGAACTGAATTTAGAAGTACGCATGAAATTGAATTAATATAAGTTTTGTGCACTATAGGCTGGTGATCGACCTTACCATATTCTAGGTACAACCAATTTAGTCAGCTACCATCCACATTATCATACGCACCTCCTCGAGGGGGGCTTTGTTTAGGGTTCTGCCATTGTCCCTACTACTACTGATCCGGGTTTGATTACTGCGCTCGTAGAGTGTTGGCGACCCGAGACATCGACCTTTCACATGTTTGGTGAGATGACGATCACTTTAGAGGATGTTGCCACACTGACGGGTCTAGCGATCGACGATGATGTTGTCATAGCAGTGGCGGAGCCAAAGGTTAAGGAGGGTGTTCCATGGCACCCCTTGGCTTGGAAACACACAAAACTTAATATAGTATTTATATGTTAATATTGAAATTTGAACTCCAATCTCAATGTTAATTGACAAATATTTACAATCCCGTCACATTCAATTATATAAATAATTTTCTGTAAGCTAATTTCTACATTAATAGTCTAGTTCATCAAAATGGGTAAGAGGGTGCAAATTATTAGAGGAAAACGACCACAACTTTGAATGGTTATTTGGTGGGATAACATTATGAGCAAAATCTTGATAGTTATGTATTTTAAAATAATTTCATAATATCAAACATGAGATGACATTATGAGTCATTATTCAAAAATGCACCCTCTTGAATAAAATTCTGGCTACGCCACTGCGTCATAGTAGACATACAAGACGAGCACTGGGCGGAGACGTGTCTTCGACTGTTAGTACAGGCTCCTACTGATATTTCTGGCGGTGTCATTAGGATTGCTTGGCTCAGGGATACATTCGATCATCTGCCTCCAGATGTATCACCAGAGAGGCAGAGACTACAGAGTAGTTTGCACGAGCTTATGCTCTATCTCTAATGGGAGGTGTATTGTTCCATGATCGCCCTGGAATTTCAGTTCATCTACAGAAACTACTCTTGGTGGAGGATTGGCATAGAGTTGGGAAGTTCGCCCATGTACCTTGAGATGGGTAGGACGGTGCTGCAAATAGGGGTGGCAGTTCGGTTATAATCGGTAACCGATCGGCCGGTTATTGGTTAACCGAAATAACCACCACTCCTACCGAAAACTGACCGAAATAGGCTTCGGTTTCTCGGTTATCTTGATTATCGATTAACCGGACCACTTTTATGACCAAAAACCATTTCATCCAGCCTCCCATAACCGACCGAAGTTTGGTTACCAGTTAGTGGATAACCGATTGGTTATCAATTTAATCGGTCGGTTAACCGGTAACCGAACGGCCACCCCTAACTACAAATAATGCAGTCCTCTTCACTAGTTGGTGAAGTTGGTGGATGGTCCGCCTTACTGCAACTCTGGGCGTCGAAGCGATTTCCTCATACAACACCACTACTTATAGAGACGGGCGCAGATTACCGAGTACGCATTCTCACGTGGTGTTCGATGGCTTCCGGACCAAACCTGCTAGCATGGTGATCAGTTCTACCAGTACAAGTTGTGGTTTGACTAGAGCACGACCTTCGTGGTTAGTATATAATATTTTGTTTTATAGAATAGTTTTCATTGGTTTGTATTAGATTTAGGAGTAATTATGTGACCACTTTTTGTGTGTAGTGGCGTCCTTACTTTGAAAAACCCAGGACCTCAGCGGTATTGTGATCCAGTCCGTCACATTTCGAGCAGTAGTTCCACTGATCTGCTTTTCATCGACGATGTGGCACCATTTAGATTGCGTGCTCGGACAGTTTGGCATGATGCAGGATGAGCCTCATCAGCCATATCCCACGACTGAGATTAGGTTTTTCCTTCGCCAAGGTCAACATGGGCCATCGCGTGGACATCAGTTGATACAAGCAGCTAGTGAGTCGATTAATTTGCGGAACTATTGACTTGAGTTCATCGTGTGTATGAGCTACAGTGACGTCTCTTTAGCCTACTACTCGGAGCATCAAGAGTGATATTGAGATGTTACCAGACGTTCAGGCACACGGAGATGAGCTACAATGAACGCAACCGTTAGTTTTTTATTAATTCATATTTGTGTTTTAATGGTTTTGAGATGTGTAGAATTTATAATATTTTAAATTTTATTTTCAGTACGACAGCATGGAGTACACTGAGCTGAGTTTACGTGATGGAGTTCGAGATGGAGGGATGTCCACTGACCGGATGGAGGAGTTGTGTGATATGTTGGCAACAGGGGTTACAGCTTTAGGTTTTAGTGAGCGCCAGCATCCTGATGATACAATGTCTATACAAGGGTATCCTGTTGATGAGCACAGTCTAGACATTTGGCCAGAGCGTAGGGTTCCAGCATCGGCCTGGGGCGTGCCACCGCCACAATTCACGTAGGACCCAGGAGTCGTAGACAGGAACGTGAGCAGCGTGATGTACCTCATCTAGTGAGGATTTCAGATCGTCACCGAGCACAGACCGTTAGGCCTACTACGAACTTTCAGTTCCACCCGCCTTCTCAATAGCAGTTTCAGCCAGACGCTTATAAGGGATTTCAGGCAAGCACCAATACGGGGCCTTTGGGGGCGCAGTTTCAGCCACCAGACGAAAACTTCCATACAATGCATCATACTATGATGGGAGGCGGATACATGGCATCAAGTAGTGATACTAGTGCAGACACACAGCCAGACCCGTGGAACTGTCTAGAAGGTGATAGTACTTTTTAGGGCACGATGTGGCATTATGAGCAGTAGATGCAGGCGCAGCAGAGAGGTGACGGTGCACCAGGGGAGCATATTCAGTCTCAGGTGGATGATAAGTTCGGTACACAAGATCAGGATGATACAGTGGAGGGAGATCAGCCCCAACCCGATGATGGTAGGCCTCCAAGGAACAGACGGACACTAAGGTGTGATAGTGGCGGCCATCTAGTGGATCAACATGGTGTTCATCGTGATGGTCGTCGTGGTGGTCGTTAGTGAGACTATTATGCTTATGTTATTATTATTTACTTCTATTTATGTGGACTATGTTATTATGGTTAGTCATGTATAGTGCTATTGTCTAAATGAAAACTTTAAATATAAAAACAACAAACAACAACAACTAAGACATTTCATAAAAGTCTCAACAACCACTTCAAACAACAACAACTTCTGGAAGGAAAATTGAAAGTTATAGACAACTTCTTCAAACAATATCAACTACTTGGAAAGAAAACAACAACTACTATATTTAACAAAAGTTCGACCAAACTACATATCACGTCTATTACCACTACTTCCTCCTACCACCTCTCGCACGTCGTTGGCCACCACTTCCTCTTCGCTGGATCTCACTCCCACTTGCTTGGCCAACACAAGTTGATGCATTATGTCCAGATTGATTACAGTTGCTACACACTTGTAGTGATACACCCTCTCTTGGCCAATCCATCTCGTTGTGAATTCTTGTTGTTCCTGGACTCCCAGACTTCATAATCATGTGCACATTAGGATGGAGAGTAGGGCCATTATGCTTCTTCCAACCCTTAGGTTCACCAAGAGGGGTGAAACTTGTCCCATTACAAGCCAACATTGTTTCAAGCAGCAATGGCATGAGAGCAAGGAATTTTATTTCCTTGAAATTTCCCACAAGTGCAAAATCCATCCCGATTTTTGTCGTCGAAGTGCACTGTGAGTGGGTTCGAACCCGTCATGTTGAAATTGTTGGGAGGAGTCTTAACTACATAGATGCCCTGATGTCGATAAACTCCCGTCACGGAATGGCCAACTACCTATTGTGACCATGGCTTCATCGGCTCGTCGCATGGGATGGTGTACTGTGAACGACCACTTTCTATGTGGGCTTCTGTCTCCAACCTCATCTTATCGAATTTCTCCAACAATCGTCAATAAGTATGTTGCACAAGAGAAGCTATAGGAAGTGAACGAATACCTTTGAAAACACCATTGATGCTCTCTGCCATGTTGGATGTCAGGATAGACCATCGACGGCCACCATTATAGTTATCATGTGCTAAGCTCCAACGAATTTGATTTTGGTCCACCTAGTTATCACAAGAAATATTCCTATCAGCAGTCATCTTCTTAATTTGCTCAACTTGATGATCAAACTTCTTCAAGCGTTTTTCTCTTGCTATCAAAATAAATAACCACACGAGTTAGATAAATTCATGAAAAAATTAAATGAAAATAAATAATAATTTAAAATAAATAACAAAATTAAATGAAGAAGGCTTACCGACTCGAAATAGTTGCTTATACATAATTATGCTTTTAGTCTTCCATTGCAAATTGCTTGCATAGTGTCGCATGCACCATCTCCACTTTCAACCTCTTCCGATGTCACTCATGGCTTCATAAAGTCCCGCATGTCTATTTGAGATGATGCATACATCATTTCGATCTGTCAAACCTTGAACATGACTTATAAACCATAGCCAGCTATCAGTATTCTTGCTCTCCACTATGGCAAACGCGATTGGAAAAATCTTCTTCCGGCCATCAAATGAGCTCGCCATGAGTAGCACTCCTTTATACTTTCCAGTAATAAATGTTCCATCAACAACCTTGACTCCTGGACAATTCTTGAATCCATCTATACAAGGTGCATATGCCCTGAATACTCGCTGAAAGATCAAATGACCTGGTTGCGATGAAGGAACTCTTACCCAATCAATCACTAATGTTGGCATTTTTCTCTTTACCACCCGCAAGAATGTTTGCAAATAATCGTAGGATTCTTCCCAATTTCCATGCAACTTCTCCAGTGCTCTTTGTTTCCCATACCAAGCCTTCTTGTAAGTAACTTGCATATTAAACTTATCTTTCAACTCGACCTGCATAGTTAGAACACTCAGATTTGGTTGGGCACGTACCAAATGTTTCACGGACTCAGATATAACGTCGACATCAAGTTGACGATGATCCGTTGGTTGAGTCGTACTGCTACAAGAATGCACCAACTCGGCCTTTCACACAGTGCATTCGCTTCCAACATCTCGACATCCAAATTGCACCATCGAAGGACAATTGTCATCCTTGTGCTTCAAGCATCTGACCTTCCAGATTGAAGGTGATGACTCCACCACGGCATACTGAAAGTTGCGTTATAGTGTGTGGTGTTTAATCGCCAGCTGTGCAGCTTGTTTCGAGTGAAATATCTGTCACTTGTAGAATTCTCCTTCAAAACCAGCAACAACAGGCATTGTAATTACTCCATATGAATCAACATATGATAATTCGTCGTCCTCTTTATTACCCTGCAAGTAAAAATTTAGAGGATAATTAGGCTGCTCTACTTCCCCATCTTCCTCCTCCTCCTCCTCCTCATCATCATCTTCCTCCTCTCCGTCAACATCGTCATGATCGGATGACATGCTCCATGTCTCATCTTCTTCCTCTCCACCCCGATCCTCACTGAGCTCAGCATGTATCTCAGCACCCAAACAAAAAGGATTTTGTGCCATAAAATTTCAAAGCGCATTCAAGCTATCATCATCCACAATAGGCATCGCATAATGAAATAAAACACCATTCTGTCATTTTGGAAGACAGTAAGTGAAACTTGTGATCATATCACTATCTTGTACTATTTCGTCTTTACGCCGTATTCTCTGAATTAGTTTCTCACAAAGTTTGTGATATGTCACCCTGGATGGCACCGTCAACTGAAAACTTCTACCACCAACGAATTGGACGCCCACATTATCCTCTACTTTCTCTGATTTCCACCGAACGAATAGTTCAAATCTTCTAAAATCACTGCATAAAAAAACAAACTCACTAATTACTAACTAAAAAAATCATAATAGCATTTGAAGAATATAATTAAAAAAATAAATGTGTCTCTTATCTATTAGTCATCTTTGTAGCAACCAGAGCTTCTTCGTCTAACTTTGGAACATCGTTTTTTTTTTTGTGCTGAGACTGAAATGAAAATCACTGGGAATAATATATAGTGTTGGAGTGGGTGTGTAGGACAGCGAACCCGCCCTAGTCTCGGGCGCCCCCGCTGGCCATCAAACACGGCTCAGTCTAGGGTGCTACTGCTGGTCAATGATTTTTGGACATTCAACAACCAAAAGGAGGGCGCAAACGCCCCAGTCTCTAGCGGACCAGCTCGAATTGGTTGAAAAAATTTAAATAGCGTGTCCGCCTGAGTGTGGGGCGGACTTGCTGTTTTCCATCTGTGTCAATAGTTTTTATTGGTTGTAAAATTTTTTATAAAAAAAAAACAAATTGTTTAGATTCTCCGTTAAACTTCAGGTGCTGAACAGAATTTTGTAAAAAGAAAATATCGAAAACAAATTTGCCCTTTCTCAAGCCTCGAGTCCATAAACGTGGTAGCTAGCGTGCTGATTGCTGAAAGCTGAAATTCCCTTTCCGCTCTGGTTGCGAGTAATCTCAATTTCAACGACTAAAATGTCGGAACGAAACCATCATCTCCGACGCCCTCTCTCTCCTCGCTCCATCGACGACCGCCGCCTACGGGATCGCCTCCCCGTATCCGTGGCCTCCTCCGACCGCAGGCACGCTCACGCTTCAATCATCCTCGAGGACCGCATTGCAATTCAGCACCACGAAATTCAATCCCTACTCATCGAGAAGGACCGCCTCGCCGCCACTCACGTCGCGCTGAAGCAGGAGCTCGCTCTCGCGCAGCAGGACCTCCGCCACTTGGCGGCGGCCGCGGTGGAGGTCAAGGCGGAGCGGGATGGCCAGGTGAGGCAAGTTCTGGAGCGATCGCTGAAACTCGACGCCGAGCTGCGGGCGACCGATGCGATGACCGCCGAGCTCGTTCAGGTGAGAGGCGACGTGCATACACTTGCTACGCAGCGCGAGGAGCTCGTTCGTGAACTGGAGGCGATCAACAGAGATTTGATGAAGGCTAGGGAAGATGCCGATTTTGCTCCCGGGATTAGGTCTGAGATTCAGAAATTGCGGCAGGAGATTCAGAAAGGAAGGTAAGTTAGGGCTTATTGGCAGTTTTCATTCCTATTTCCACCAATTAATTCGAACTTATGAGTTAATATGGAAGCGCCACTCCGTTTGATGCAGTAGCATTTCCTATGCGACTTCAGCTGCAGCAATGCAGTTAAAACTACTAATGGCTATGCTGTAGTATTTGGTATTTAATTTTGATATTCTGCTATGGCAATTGATGATGATATGGTGATCTGCACAAGATAGGAAGAACAAAGAGGATAAGAATCAATACCTTGACAATGGAAAACCACATGAAAAGGAATTGATTGCACTGGACTGCTGGTTTTCTAAACAAGAATTCTTAAATCCGCTTCTATTTCCGGTTTTTGGATGAAATGTAGGGCTGCAATTGATTATGAGAAGAAGACACGTTCCAGCAACCTTGAGCATGGTAAGGCAATGGATAGAAATAGGGTTCTGCTTGCTGAAGAAATAGACAGACTCTGTGCTGAGCTAGTGAAAGCAGAGAAAAGGGCAAGAGCAGCAGCAGCAAATGCAACAGCAAACCTAGGTAAAAAGTTTGTCTATGCACATGGTTATTTTTCTCCAGAGCTATGTTTCTTACAGACCTGTCATCTAACTCATGATATTCAGATGTTACAGATCCTGCTTATGGAAGCTATGCCAATCATGGGATAGAGTATGGAGTTGGTCCTTATCATGACCAATACGGCAAACCTCAGGTACCGTTCTCTCTTACAATTCCAATATTATCTTCTTAGTCATCGTACCACTTACAGAATGGTTGGTTGGACTTGCTCTGCATGAAGAAAATCTGCTACTGGCTTGATTTCCAGGCACATTAAACTGTACGAGGTCAAACTTCATAGCTCGCTCCTTTGTTACTCTTAACTGGATGCTTCCTATCCTCATCCATCCATACTTAACGTGTACATGAGGACCAGCCCATGACACATATGCTAAAGCGCACTCCACCAGTATAGTGTTTCTGTCAACTCGACTACTTTCTTTGTTGGTATATCCATTCGAGTTATCAATATCGGTTAGTTTGTGCTCCATCAAACAAATCACATTGGTGTGACCACTACAACTTCACTTCTTCCAGACCAACTCGAGTTTTGCAATTTGGGGACGTCAACATTTGACACAGTTATGAGATCTTTGAATTGCTCTAGGACCTACAGACGTTTACTGTCCACTAGGATGAGAACAAATATAACTTTCAGCAGCCGGGAAGGCTAACCCAGCCAAAAGCTTCTCCATGATGGTGCATGGTCCGCATGTTCATTTGCTGGGTTGTTTTTATGCGCCCGTATGTAGAAGCATATGAGCTCGAATCTCTTCACCTTATCGTGATTTACATTACTTGTTTCATTTTCAGGTTCGAGGTGTTCCCGATGGCACACCTCCTCTGCATGCTTCCGGATCAACATCGAACGGTGCTTGCGATATGGTGCGGCAACAGCCAACGAACAGATAGCAGGCACATGGTATCACGCTCTGGTTAATGTCTTTTTGGTTTCACGCACATATCAGAGGGATTCCATCTCTGCAAGATCAGTTCATGTACGAGATCTGGCCCTAGGGTGGATGAGCCATGGCATCATATGCTTTGACGAGATGGTGTTTTTCGCGCCATTGTCACCAACAGCAGAAGTAAATAGGATGACGAGTCCATGACTTGGTGAAGACAACATTGTTACATGATGTTGGTGGTGCCATCTGTCGCGGTCCAATCATTGGCAAAGGAACGATATTAACAGCAGTCCAAAATGTTTAAGGGAGACGCAATGAGGTAGAAGCATGCTTGTAAGACTTGCTTTTGGAAATTTTGGTCAACTTGGCTGTCTCTGTAAGATCGGTTCATGTATGAGATCTGGGCCTAGGGTGGTTGTACTTGCTATTAACAATTGTCTAGTTGGAGTCCATATGAAGATTTTAACAGAACTCATTCTGAATACCAAGCAAAATCACTTGAGTGATCAAAATGTTGTCAACAGCACAAACAAAAATGATGAATAAGCGTCAAGGAGCAACACGGCTTTCAATTTCCGACCATTACATAAGTGTCGCATGTTCATATAGTTTCTCTCATTCATGTGCTTAAAAGTTAAAACCCACTAAAATTGATATACCAAAATTCACAATCAAGAGCTCTAATCCCTACAATGAGAACCTAGCTGGTTGTCACGAATTTAGGTGCTGCTCCATGAAGAAAGCATCTAGCATTCGACTACTGTCACTCTTTGAAGAGGAAGGTGCTAGCTAGCTCTTGATCCGTTTTGCAGGAGAAATATCAAGAAACCCAACAAACGAGTCGTCGATCACCAGCGAACTCTTCACATCAAATTCCTCATCCAAGAGGCAATGGCAGATCATTCATACGAATCCAAGAAACATGTAATACTCCACACACACCCTAATAGTCAAATTCTTCTGAAAAGATCACCAAAAGAGCCCCCATACATCAATGTAATTAATTGCCGTGCTGCTTCACATCTGCTTGTTCAGAGCAAAGGCATACAATAGTTTGTTTCAAACAGCATAGTAGCACCCACCCATATCCTGCGCGAAAACACTGACTGTTGGAAAGAAACAAACATCCAACCCAGCTAGTGTATTATCCTCGGACCATTTTCAGGCATGCAATATAACTTGGGACTAATGCACGACGGCAAAAGAAGCTGATTACTCACCTGAATACAACCAACCTACCTTAAGCAGCAAGCAAGCAATTCGGAGTTTCTATCCACTTGCGTCTATAAAGAAAAGAATTCACACAAGCTGAATCAATTGTGTGCATAGGGGGGAACGATCAAGTCTACAGTAAACAGGAAAGGAGAGAAAGGGGTATTGCTCTGTGAACAACCTACCTCTTAGTCTCCCTCCAGTTAAGAACAACCCCTCAAGGTAATGGAACATAGTAAAACACCCTCAGACACAATTCCTAGAGTACAAAATAACGGCATAACAGAGAGCAGAGAGTCCTTAGTACGGGCGTGAACGGTTCCCTCCATGCTGATGCCTGTCGGGCCCAGAACCGTCTCTGTAGTTATCCCTCCGCCCACCATATCCACCACCACCTCTTCCGCCTCCACTGTTGCACAGTAAATGAAACCATTCAGTGAAACTATGTAAACTGATTCATGCAAAATGGTAATAGAACAGTCCAGTTTCAACGGAATCAAAAGTGTCAAATTAGCTCTACCTAAATTTCATATGAAAGAGAGAGAGACTGAAGAGAAACAAGACCAGTGACAAGCTTGCTTTTTTATTAGGAAAGGTCAATAAAAGTATAAAACCATGTAACCGATCTTGAAAACTTTGACGAAGACTTGATATGAGAATAAGAGCAGCTAAGGACTTCAACAGAATCTTTAATCATGATAATGATACTAATAATAGCACTCAACTAACAACAGAAAGAAAAGGAAAAAAAAAAAAAGCAGGACTCCATTGGCATTTGTTCATGAAAAGGACATAAATAGTCAAAATAATATACCCGTGCTCAGGTTGCCTCAAAGCTGTCTTCTCTGCCATGACAACACTAATTTTTTTACCTCTCATCTCGTAATCTGAAAAAGAAAATCAAATATATCAGCAATCGTAAATAAATTCCGTGTGTCAAGATCCAGGTAAACAGTTTGAGCCCGTACTGTTGTAGAAGCCACCAGCAGAATGTGCAGCAGATGGATCCTCATAAGACAAAACTGCATCCCCTTTCTGGGTGCCCTTTTCATCAGTATATATCTTTATGTTCCAAGGCCATTGATCCTTGTAGCCCCTCTTCTGCTTAATCCTTCCAACCTGTCAACATATTTCAATTTTAGTAAGGACTTTCCTAACATGCAAGCTGCTGTCACAGAAAAGAATCATAAATTGAAGTAGATATGCATTCCCGCATCAGAAGAAAAAGTTATAAATAAAATGGAAGGACCGATTATCCCAAAGTAACTGATTTTAGACAAGAATCAGATTTGCAAATGCGAAGAGCAAAAGAAGAGCCTCCCATAATCAGTATGTGTTTCAATCCAATAAACTTTCAAACAGTTTGGAAATCTTAATATGAAACAAAGGCACCAAGATCGTACTACTACTGCGAATTAATGACCAGTTACTCTACCAAAGAAAAAAAGAATCTCATGTCGAAGATCCCAAATCTGAGAGTGAAGGAAAATATGAAAAATGCAAATAAACAAAGAAGATCCAGCATTACTTGTCCAATTCCACCGAACAGCTCTTTCAATTCTTCAACCGTCACATCAGCAGGCAAATTAGATATGTAAATTCTAGAGTTGTCGCAGTTGTCGCCACAATTCTCATCACATTGCTTAATTGATGGAGCTGCATCAGCACTAGCACCATTACCACCATAACCACCACTTCCTCCTTGATTCCTTGATCCACCACTGCTACCATACCCACCTGGAGGGCCACCACGACCACCGCCTCTTGTATCACCAGTAGCTTCACCGCCATAGCCAGCCACAGGAGGGTATGATGTAGGACCACCAGTATAGCTTGTAGGACCACCAGTATAGCTTGTAGGTGGCGCAACTGCATTGGCACCACCATAATTAGCATTCCCTCCATATGAGTTGGGAGGTTGAGGATAATTACCTCCACCACTACCATAAGCTGGAGCTGCTGCAGGTGGCGGCACCTGATTATATCCATCATCATCTCCTCTACCACCATAAGAACCACCTCTACTGCCGCTGCCGCCTCCACTTCTACTCTCATAACCACCACTTCTACCACCACTGCTGTAACTTCCACCTCTATTACCATCATCTCTGCCACTCCCTCGATTACCAGAATACCCACCCCCTCTGTTATAACCATTCCCACCTCCACCTCCACCACCACCACCGCGATCATTGTTGGCACCAGCGGGAGAAGGCGTGTTGCACTTATTGCACTCAGTTCTTCTTGCAAAGTTCAAGTTCCCACAACTATTTAACGCAGCAAATAGGACTTCCAAGAGTTAGAACAGTACCCTGATGGAAGACGATATGGTGCACAACTCCCTCAACCCGAAATAAACATGAAAACACCAATAGAGATTTACATACTAACGTATGATAGCACAATGGAACCAAAAAAGGTGATAACTCAAGAAGCTAATAGGGGATAAACAAAAATTACCCAGGATTAGGGCAAAGCCAATCACCATCTCTGCCACTACCTCCACCTCGACCACCTCCTCTGCCGCCGGAGCCACCTCTGCCACCACGATCTCCTCCTCCTGGATAACCGCCGCCACCACCGCCGCCGCCTCCTAATGACCACATGAAATCAGACTTCGCTCAAGATCCAATATAACACCAGCTCAAACCTAATTCATTCATCAATCTCACGAACAAAAAAAAAACAAAAAATAATAGAGACTGCGAATATGGGAATTACCTCCGTATCCTCCTCCACCACCACCTCTACCGCCACGACCTCCGCCGCCATAACCTCCATATCCGCCTCCTCCACCTCCGCCTCCGCCTCCGCCACCTCCATATCCTCCGCCGCCGTATCCACCACCACCGCCTTGGTAAGGCGGAGCGGCGGAATCACCGTTTTGGCCGTACATACCGGACATGATCTGGACGTCCCTGCTTCGAATCTCCCCTGGTTCTCTGTGACTGTTAATCTACCTTCTCAAGAAGGAGCTGGAAAATCCACGAATATTAGGGTAGAAAATTGAAGATAGGTTTGGCCGTGAACGTGGGTACAAGGCTTTGTCCTCCTAACTCTTCCTTGGCGGTATAAAGAGGCCTCGATAGGCCCAATACGGATATTTGTATTCTGAGTTGTATTACAAGGCTTAAACCGCACCCGGCCCAGCACTGAGCGAGGACCAGATCTGGTAGATGGGCCGGCCAGCCCATTGTTGATTCACGCGCCTCCTATCTCATCTTCGCCTACACCCACGCGGGCCACGCCTCGCCCACCAACCACTTGATAATTTGTCTAGCTCAAGAATGGCCCCAACTGTTCTGGGTACAAACTATGAAACAGCCTACTATTTACAGCACGAGAAGCTACACTAATATTTCTCTAACTTCCTGCAATGGCACAAACACCATTGGAGCAGGATTTCGAGCATCAAACCGATTCATTTCCACAAGGAACCAAGGAAGGCTTTTGTTGCATGAGAAAGGCGAACCAACCATGGCAGAAGCTTCAATACAAGTTCAGTCTCTTGGCACCCATACAAAATAATAGCTCTCTGTGGAAGTGTTTCTTGAAGGAGTCATTCATTCTTCCTTCTATACAAGCACGGTTATTAATAAGATCAACAACCAGAAAAGGCAGACCCTGCTATGGGAACCAGCTTCAGAAGTATCAAGCTCAATCCAGAACCGGCAACTACCAATGGACGGATCAACAGTCGTGATCAATCCTAACCCTCCAAAATCACAGCTATCTCGCGCCTGATCATGCTGTTGATAGTAACTGTTGAATGCATAAGATGTATTCCCTGGCCAGCTGAGGTTGGAGCACGACCCACCGGGCGAAAGGGCTGAGCAATCCGCAGCAGAGCATGCATCCAAAACACGGGCACTTGCATTAGAGACGTCCTTATTATTATCCACAACACACCATTTGGAAGGCAGATAAACAACTTCTTGTGCATTCACCAGGTCCTTGCTACTCCCCTGCCCAAAGTCAATCCGATATTTCGCCTGCCCATCAAATGTGAACACTCCCCAGTGCCTCTCAAATCCCCCACTTGCTATGCTCCTCTGGTTCTCATCGAAAAGGCTGAATATAAAAATCTCTGATGGCGGATTCTGAGGCCTAAGTGCTGTCCCTGACTTGGCATGAAGACGTTGCATCAGCGCTTTCATGAATATCTCCGCAGTTTGTGAGGAAGCATTAGCTGCTCCATCAGTGGGCCAGCCCACTCTCGCGACAACAATGGGCATACCGGGAAACCCAGCAGCAGATAGTGCAGCAACTGCATTGTCATGGGTCAAATCGAAGCTGTTTCTGTATGTTCTGCTGTGGGTATCATTACGAGGGCGTGCAGTCTCTTTGAACAGTGCAAAGTCGAGGGAGACGTTCTTATCTTGCAGGAAGCTGAGAAAGGGAGAGATGGTTACGAAGAAGGGCGAATGATGCTTGTCGAGGAATGTGAGGAGCTCGAGCATTGTCTTGTTGAGGTCAGGCCTGAAGTGTGCCTTGGATGGTAGACCTGATTCTGACTGAATGGAATCTGAACTGAGAGGAACCACCACTTTTATTTCACTCCCCAGGCTCGCTTTCGCTAAAGCTGATTGCACATTGATGACTGCGCCAATGACAACTGAATGGAACTGCTCACCATACATCTGGTGAAATGGCTCATCTCCCACAGCAACATTCCTGTAAGTGAAAGAATCAAAAGAACAAATGGGTTTATGCTTGCAAAAATTAGCAACTCTGTATAGTATCGCTATAGCTAGCTTTAAGAACATGTATGACATGATCAACATATCGTGAGCTTACTTTGAGTTAAATCACCGCTGCTATATTCAATGCTCTGTAAGAAAGATAACTAGAAAAGGAGGTAAGTATGCAACAAGGTGCTTGGGAGAACTGGCACTCAAAATGAGAGACCCTTAAAAACAAACCCAACTCATTATATATAGACCAACACTGTCACACTGAACATCATCTAGAATCCCTGTTCTTTCCATTTGGAATAAACGAAATGAAGTTGCCATGTTTTGTACATATCTTTGAATCTGCAGTTATCTTTTAATGTTAAGTAGATGGAGCATTCTCGAGCGAGACAAATTATCAAGCGGTTGGTGGGCACTGGGCAGCAGTAAGAGCAAGAACCACATGTCACACAAATCTCATTTCCTCACCATTTCTAGCTCTTTTCTAACTTCTGGGCAAGGCCTATTAGGATTCCTATTTCCTAAAGTCGCCAAAATCATCAACAAGCGAATAATCCAAAAACAATCATCAAACTACGAGTCTAGGACTTATGACGAGCAGCAATGGATAGTAGCGGGGAAAGAACTGTACTCAATTCGGGCTCCAGTGCGGGCGGTGGAGAAGAATCGGGTGACATTGTCGTGGACCCAGCTCTCGGCTGCTTTCTTGGAGGAGTTGAGGGTCTTGAGCATGGAATTGGGAATGCCGACGGTGACGCCAATGTTGGAGCCGGAAAGAGCTTCGAGGACTAGCGGGTCGGAATCGAACAGCCTGACTTTGGTAATGTTGTTGGACTTCAAGAGCTCCACTACCTTGCGCGGCGGCAGCGGGTGGGAGGCCGTCGTGCCCCAGCTCACGCCTAGAGCTTGGACCTTGGTTGAGATGGTGGCGGTGAGCAGGAGGAAGAGGAAGGGAAAGCAGAGATTAGGAGAAGGCATTAGACTATTGGAGCTCGGGGTTTTCCCAGGTCCGGCGGATGTGAACGTTCGGAATTTGTCCTAGAAGCAAATGAAAGAACGAATACCGAGCGGCACAAAGCGAACGAGCAGAGCGGCTGAACAACAGTTTTCATTACCCACATCGGCCAAATAGAAGACGAAAATATATATTTTTAGATAGGTTAAACTAAAATTTTATTGAATAGTAATTGTATGGGCGGCAAATAATATTGATAAACAATTATTTGTTGTCCATACAATTATTATTATTATTATAATTATTATGTCTTGCTTGATTTTTTTCAAATTCTCTTTCTAAAAGGTAATTTTTGTAAATTTCATACAATTACAATAGTAAAATTGTTTCATATCGCTAAAAATCGTTTACAGGTTTACACTAGAGTATTAATATTTTTCAGTCTTACTACTGGTACGGTACGGCTTTACAAACATAGATTTTTTACACTCCAAACACTTCTCAATCTCCTCTTCCACGAATTATTGGGGTTGCTTGTTATCATTGCATTCCCATAGTCGTGTCGTGTCCCCCTCTAGTTATTTTAGTTCAAGGGTCGTTAGCCTACGAAAAAATCGACACAATTCAGAAAGCCTCGAAGAGCTTATCTTATGTGCACGAGAAATGGTGACGGAACTTGCCTAGTGTGGCACTACGTCATTCTAATCAACTCCACCTACAAGACAAATAAGGTTGGGAAGACATGGCTCGAGATGGTAGATGTTACCCCATGAGTGATTTTTTTATTTTATAAATAGCCTATATTATTTCATTTAGTTGTCTAAAATATTATGATTTTTCCAACTGGAGCTGGAAAACTAAAAATATAGGGAACCTATAAACCCAAAATTCTGGTTGATCCCAGTTACAATTCGTGTGTGCCGTAATGTGGGCGGCCTCATTACTTGTTCGGCCTAAAAAGGAGAAGATATTGGGCCTAAACAACAATTAGATATTGTGTTGCGAAGGGTTAGAAGGGAGGCATCTAGCTAGCATGGCATTCTAGTGACTTGTAAGTCAATTTAGTGAATGCAAGTTGACAACACCTCACAATCAAAGTGTCTAAATGGTGGGTGCCAGCAACTTTCACTTTATATTATAAGAGTAGGGTTGGTTGAGGCTATGAAGGCTTTCCAACTTGCTTCAATTAGGGATGAACTATGAAGCATTTTAGAGTATTCTATTCACTTTTTCAGCTGGATCCGAGCCTTGCTATTCTTTTGTCTGAAAAAACTTTATTCACCTTCACGACTGACTGCTCAATGGAATATATGCTAGCCCACAACACAAATTCCACTGGCAACTTTGGGACCATCTAATTGCTATTAGCAGAAGTCACAACCTATCGTGGCTGATCACCGGAGATTTCAATGTTGACTGTTCCCCGTCAGAGAAGTTGGGCCTTCCTCATCTAATTATGTTCATCGTTGTCATTGCTTCAACAGTTGGATTAGTGATGCTAACTAGTTTGACATAGGTTTTTCAGGTCCTCGCTTAACATGGTCACACGATGACGCGAAGATACTCATTAAACTCACAAAGCAAGCATAATCCACCGATGTCTTTGCAATGCGGAGTGGAATTCCATCTTCCCCAAATCATTTGTTATGCATCTGCCTAAACTCCACTCGAACCATCTTTTGATTCTCACGACAAGCTCAGGTCCAAGCGTCCAGCTAGCACCAAGGTTGTTGGCAGACCATTCCGTTTTGAAGCTATGCGGAGGGCACGTGATTGTCTCCTTCAGGCCGCTCTTATCCTGAACCGGAAAATATATCTTCTAATGATGGTGACTAAATTTTAGGTCGGTTCGAAAACAAATGAAAGATGCATGTTGATGAGATAAGGGGTGAGCCTTTGAGATTAGTATGTTTGGTGTTAATGGGTTAATTAGTCGTAGGTTTAGCATGTTTATGGGTTAGTAGCTACTTAGTGCATGAGATTGGGTAGGTGGCCGAGTGGCCTAGGGTAATTAGTAGGATTCGGCTATAGCTAGGGTTACGTATTAGGATTAGTCTCCTATATATTGTTACTACTACATTAGTCTAGTTTAGAGAATAATAAACTAAAGGTTCATCGACACCAACGTCATTCTCTCGCTTGTGAGTTACAAGCAAACCCTCGAGTTGCGACGACACAACTCGTGCCCAGGGCTTGCGGCGAAGAGCCGAGGAGCTGCGCGAGATCATGCGTGGCCACTTAAAAAGAAGCTATGAACTACATCAACAGTGGGAGCAAATCAAGAAAGGGTTGCAACCCAACCCCACCCGTGCGGTCGCTACCAGCGGCAAACGGAGTGATGGCGACCTGGACCATGTTGACGCCAATGAAATCAGGGCAGCGGATGATCTCAAAATCTCTGCCAATGATATCGTGGGAAAGGAATCAGTGCGCAAAGGCGAACTTCACCTCGGTGAGGCTATCATCCCTCGATATGGAAGTTGTGAGAAGGAGGCGTCAAAGGACGGAGCTCATCCAATAAGGAGATCGCAGCTGGAGTTCGGTCCAATTGTGGCGGTGCTATTGTTGGCAGAGGAAGCTTTTCGGGTTGGCACGAGAGGCCGCCATCAACGTGGCGTCCGTTAGGTGGAAGTTTGGAATTTGATGTGCCGAAAGTGAGTTTGTGGCAGCGGCTACTTGTCCCTCCATGTAAGCATGTAAGGAGAAGACTTTCTTGGGGCCAATGTGATGTTTATGGGCGAGGTATCTCACACCTCTTCCTAGCTGGCCAAAACGCAAACGCTAGAAGAGTTACGGTGGCGGAAGTTTTTGAACTTGCCGATGTCCATGCTGTTGATTTGGGAGTCCAAACAATTCGACTAGCGATGCATGCTCTAGTCATCACGTGGAAGACGAACATAGGTCCAACTGCAAATTGGAAATTCTGGAAGCAACGCAAGAGCTTCCACTGCCATCATCGTCTACCTCCACGACATGGATTGAACCTTGGATACCAAGGTTTTTTTTTGGGGGGGGGGGGGGGGGGGGGGAGGAATGATGAGATAAGGGGTGGGCCTTTGAGTTTAGTATGTTAGGTGTTAATTGTTAAGGATATTCCCTCAAATAATTAATGTATTTGTTTATGCTAGATCGTGTACGTAGTGGCTTTACTTACTGGCTCCTTATTTGTAGTTGTGTAGGTTGAGGTTCTTTTGTAAAGTGACTATTTAACATCACTTTCCTAACTAATACAAAACACATCATTCTAGCCATTCAAGTTTCCACATGGTACCAGAGCGCACGCTCCGATTTCCTTAACCACTTCCCTCAAATCTCGATTCCCTTCCCTTCATTTCTCTTCTACCTCATTCTCTCTCCCATCTCAGTCGATCTTCTCTTCTCACCATTCTTCATACGATCTTTCCCAAACAGTCGTTGCACTCCTTTCCCTACCCACTGCAATATGGCTGAAAACTCTAGTGAAACGGTGATCAATCTTGATGATGCTAACACTATCATCACCCTCAACCTGGCGGCCCAGCTACCCGCCAAGCATAAAGCTGAGAACTTCCCCACATGGCGCGCCCAGTTATTTACTCTTCTGCAAGGACTTTACCTGCTGAAAATCTTCGATGGAACTCATCATGCCCCTGCTGCTACGGCCACTCTCGCTGCCCACACGCGTTGGTTCAGGCAAGATAAATTAATTCTGATATGATTCCAAATTGCCAATCATTCACGTCACAATTAGTTGACAAAGAAGCTATCAAAGTTGGGAAGAAAAAAAGGCAGAATTTGGTCAAGTGTTGGAACAGTTTCGAGATGCCTACTTTGGAGGCATGATTCTCACAATTGGCTCACTGAAAATTGGATTTCAAGGGCTTGTTTTAAAGTTAAAGATGCCATCTTTCCAATGGTATGCTTTTTGGATCCAAACGAAGTCATTAAGTATATTTTCGAAGGCCTCAAAGTTGCTACCTCAAAACAGGAAAACTGTCAGAATCTGTCTAAGTATAAATCTCTGTTCATGAAGCCTACTTTGGAGCTCAATTAGAGAAGCATGAAAGGGATTCAAGTCCAAAGGCTTCTACAAAATGAATTTAGGTATGTTTATCTACCAAGAGAATGAATTGGATGAAAGATTGGAGTTCTGGAAGGCCTCGAACGAAAGGCGCGAAGTTAGTACGAAAGCTGCTTTTGGACTGTTTGCTGGCAGCTTACTTGTGCTTCAAGAAAAGGAGTTTGAGTCCGAATTTTGTAACCTTTTTAGAGTAGTATTTTAATTAAATTGTTCTTAGTTACATTAGTTTTGTATTAGGTTTTCTTTGGCTATTAATAACCTTCTCTTTTTGTTCTAAAAATTCAGAGATTGATCAATTGAATTGAAAACGTCAGTTTTGTGCAAGTTTCGACTTCTTTTGGGTTTGGTGGATTCCAAACTTGTTGAACTTGTGTATCGATTGAATAGGCACTTCAATCGTGGTCGAGCAACTACCCCTTTTATACCATGAGCTTTCCCCAGGTGTGGAATTGTCCGTTAGTTCCGTTTTATCCCAATTTCGTATTAAGAACGTTTTGTTCTTGATTCGAGTTGTTGCGTGACTTTGACAACATACACCCCCTAGGGGCGTATTAACTTCTTCATGCCATTCTTGCCTCGATGTCCCCGAGTGTCTCTCTTTATGTCTCTGCAGCTGAGTCCTCCTGGGAGGCATGGACGACCTTGGAATGTATGTTTGCGAGTCAGTCCCGTCAAAGGATCATTATCCCTAAAGAAAAGCTCAACAAAGAGGTCAAAGGCGCGCATCCGGTCTTGGTGTATTTTCAGGTTATAAGAACCAGTGCTGCTAAGTTGGCTCTTGTCAATGACCCGGTTGCTTATGAAGATTTGATCCTCCATGTTCTCCGCGGGCTGCGTGAGGAATATGGTCAGATTGCTGCTGCTGTTCGTGCACGGGATACGGCTATCAAATTGGAAGATCTTCATGACTGCATTGTTGAATACGAGGCGGATTTGGCTGCCATTCGTCAGGTCTCTTCTCAG